TATATTATTTATTAAAAAATAAAAATATTTATATATATTAAATGAATAAAATTAATAAAATTTATAATTTTTTTATTTTGCACTATATATAAATAATTAATTTTAAACATATAAAAAATATATTTGATTTTTCGACATTTTCATAAATAAAATATTAATATTATATATTTATATATAAATGTACTAGTATTTAATAAGACTCATATTTTATTTAGGTTATTTTTAATTTTGATAATAAAATAAATTATTACTGAGCAAAATATAAACTATAAGTATATATAATAATAATTATCTAAATCTATATTAATATAAAATATTTATATTATTAAAATAAGAATTTTAATAAATGAGAAATTGTTATTTAAAGCCGCAATAATATTGACGGTAATGCAATTTTATTTACTAATTATAAATTAAACCTTTAAAAAAGGTAAACTTAAGTACTTTAGAAATGAGTAATAAATCATATTTTACAGTAATTAAAAATAATAAAAAAACGAAAAACAATTAATGTATCATTTATTAATAAATGTATATGGTAAAACTTATAAAATTCACTTTTTTTTCTTCTTTAAAATCAATATTTAACTCGAAAATTAAATAAAGGGTAAGAAGATAAGTAGAACGATATAAAACTAATTAATTTTTAAAAAAAATTATAAAATTAGTGATATATAGTTTTTTTATGCTTTCTATTTATAATATATATGTATGTAAAGAGAAATTAGTAAATCATAAATAGGTGACATATTAAAATTATATATATTTATATATATATATATTTATTGATCAAAATATATTTTTTTAAATTATTTATTTTAATATTTATAAAAATATTCTGAATTATATATTTTTTTTATATTCTTTTAGTGATGATTAATTTTTAATATAAATTTGTAATCTATTTATTTTTATTTAAACAAAATCTGTAATTATTTTTTAAATTTAAATTTTAGAATATTTTTATAAAAAAATTATTTAAAATTTGATTCAAAGCCTAATATAATTTTAAAAACTCGATCAACAAAAAAAAGGTGATTTAAATTAGACAACTACCTTTTTATTTATTTTGATTCTGTTTTTTTAAAAAACTACCGGAAAACAAAATAAACCAATATTTACAAGTAATATATAATTAAGTATAAAAAATACAAAGTACAAAAAATAATAAATAAAAAATTAAAAAAAAAAAAAACAACATACATAAAAATAAGTATATAAAATTAATTTAATAAAAATAAACTAAAAGGAATATGAAATAAAATAAACCATAAATAAGAAAAATAGTTTCAACTGATATATTACCTTTAATTTATAATTATCTTATTTAAATTGGGCTGGAGTCTGTTGCTAAAAAACTTTAAAAAAAATCTGGAATTGATTTTGAAAACAATGTATAAAGTATTAAGTATATTATTTTTTAAATTAATAAATTTAAAAAAGGAATGCGCTTTTTCATCAAAAAAACTTTAAAAATAATAAAATTTTATGTTACAAATCACAAAGAAATGATAAAATAATTCATTTTACATGATGATGAAGAATAAGAAATTTAAGAGTTATAAGAAAAAACTTAAAAAAAGAAAAGAAAGAAAAATAGAATAAAAAAAACTATAAAATAGTAATTATGAAGAATCAGAAGAAGAAAAACCTTAAAAAAATAAAAAAAGAATTAATAATTATCGAAAATAATAGATAATAACAAAAAATAAACACAAGAAGAAGATGTATACTAGAATTAAGTATAATAATAAGTAGAAGAATAAAAAGAATAAAAGCTTAATGTAAGAAAATATTTTTAAAAATGTGATGACAGTAAATTATAATTTCTTCCTGCTTAACTAGCTGATAATTCTCATGAAGCGAAAGCCAAATTTGGAAAAGGTGACTTATTTGGAGATGAAGGTAATAAAAGATTAAAAGAAGTTCGTGGAAAGGGATTCCGAAAAGAAAAAGATAAATTAAAAAATAAAAATTTCTGTGGAGGAAGTTTTAGCATTAATATGGATGCAATTAATTCAATTCCAATTTTATGATAAAAATATTTATATGTAATTTTTGTATATTTTTTTTTACATTTTTTTAAGAAAAATTATTCAATTTTATATTTTAATTAATATGTATTTAAAAGTATTGTCAAAATCAATAATTTTTATAAGAAAATATACTTTTTCTTTTTTAATTTTGATAGGATATACTTTTCTTAATAATATTTATTTTTATAAATAAAACTAAAGTTTCAATAATAAAAATATCTTAGAAAAATTATCCTCTAAAAAACAAAAAAATTAAAGTTTAACTATATTTTCCTTTATTAATAAATATCAAATTAATATTTTATAAAGGAATACAATTATAATAATTATAAATGTATTGATAATATTAAATTTAATCTCATTATAAAAACAAAAATTTATTTATTATGCGAATGTTACGAATGAATAATTTAACACAATATTAAATTTATTCTTTAAATAAAGTTGTGAAAATATTAATATTATAAAAATATACATTTGAATTCTTATTAAATAAATTATAATTATTTATCTCTTTCTTAATTTAATTTAATTATTTATATATGGAAGTTGATAAAAATCAATGTCAATTTTTTTTAAAAAAATCTGATTAGAATTTATTAAAGTATTTCTTTATTGCGAATTTAATCATATTTATAATTCACATAAAATTAAAACATATTATTTATTTTTAAATACAATTTTTTATAAAATGATTTTAATTTTTAATTCAAAAAAGTTCAAATTATTTTATGTATTTGAATAAATTAATTTTTATTTAAATTTTTAAAAATAAGTTTAATATTCCGTAAAAAGTAAAATTTATAAAAAAGGAAAATATAAAAATATTTTGAGATAATAAATACTTTTAAAATAATTTATACAAATTAATTTATTACAAATCTTTCTATAACAATTTTTTATATTGTTTTTAAATTTTCTCATATACTTAATTCTATAAGCTTATTTTGTTTAAAATAACTTTCAATATCTAATTTAAATTAGCTTTTTGCTTTATCTGAAATTAAATTACTTTTTAATTTTTAAAAATTAAAAATAAAATTTATTTTTCTTAGATATTATTAATAAAAAAAGAATTTAATTACTTATCTAAGTCTAAGCTTAAATATATTATATTTTTTTGAGGCCCTAATATTTTAGTTATTTCTTCAAATTCTTTTTCTTTTATATCACACCTTAAAATTGTTTATATTTAAATATAATTATTAAGGAAATATATATATGTATTGTTTTACTATTATGCACTATAAAATAAACTATTAAGTTTTTCACATTTTACAATATGTTAAAACAATAAAATATGACCTAACCCGGATATACCACCCATATGATTAAAATTCAAAGATAATTCTTCTAAATTTAGAGAATTTCTAATTCCTTAAGCTAAATGTGAAATTCCATCAAAATTAATTTTATTACTAAAAAATATGAATAGATATATATATATATATATATATATATATATATATATATATATATATATATATATATATATTATATATATTATTATTAAGTTTAATATTTTTATAAAAAAATAAAAATTTACTTGGAAATATTTAAATAAAAACTCTTTAAATTTCTATTTTCAATAATTTTCCCAATATATACCATATCTTCTGTATTTAAATCACATCCATCCATAATTAATTTTACGTTTTTTAATTTACTTTTTAATTATAAACCTTTTGAAATTTCTTTTATTCCTTAAAGTGTAATTTTGTTACTTTTTATATTATTTAATTATTAGTCAATTTTTTTTAATTTTTTACTTTGACAAATTCAATTGTAAATCTTGTAAATTTTCTAATTCTTATAATGCCTAACCTAGCATTTAAAAAGCTGATCCTTGTATTTAATTACTTTTATTAAAAAAAATATTAATTATTTAATTAATTATTTTCAATTACCCCCATAAATATAAGCTCAAACTTTTTAATTTTTTTAGTTTTTTTAAACTTAAAGAAAATTGCTCTAATCCTCTATTTTTTAACTTATTTCTAATAATAAATAAGATTGAAAAATTTAAAAATAAAATTCAATATAAATTTTACACTGAAAGGACTATACATAAATCTGTTAATTTTGGCTATTATTCTATAAGATTTCCGATTTCAATAAAACCTTAATCCCCGAAATGTTCTTTATTTTGTGAAAAGTTAAGATGCAATTAATTTATTTAATTAAGCTTTTTATAAGCTTCGGTTAATATTTTAATTCCTTTATATGTTAATTCATTATTGCTTAGTTTAATAATTAAAATCTTTAAATTAGAAAACTAGGAAATTGTATTACTTAAGGTATCTGTACATTCTATTTATAATCCATTTGATGTAAAATCAATCATTAACTCTTCTAAATTTTCCAAATTTCTCAAACATTAAAACCCATTTATTATTGAAGAGGATAAAATGCTGTTACTATTTTTATATATTATATAAAATTAATTATAAGTTTTACTGTGATATATTAATGTGTAATATTCTTAAATTAGTACATTATGAAATTCCTTTAAATATATTAATTGCACCTGCTTCTCCTAAACTATTATTATAAAACTAAATTTATAAATTTGATAAGCTAGTTTATTTTGCTAATATTTAACTTATCATTTACGACTAATCAATAGTTATCTTTTATTAATCTATAATAAAATAGTATTTAACTAATTTAAGCTTAGCTAATTATTCTCTTAACAATAATAGTGCTTATTATTATTTTTCTGTTTCAAATCTAATGAAAGATAAATAATATAGTATTTTTTATATTTTAAATAAAATTTACCTATCTAAGTTGATTTTTAAATAGCTACAATTATTATCTATTATTTCCTAAATTTATTAATTAAAGTTAGTATTTGAAAGAATTCCTTCCCATATTTAATGAGACTTTTATTTAGCAAATTAAAACATACTATAACTTCTCTTTTTATTAAAAAATTAAAAATAAAAATAGTTAAATAAAATTAAAAATACTATTTTCAAATTTTTAGTTAATTCTTATATTTTCAAGAAACAAGGTCTTTCGTTTTTATCATAAATAAGCATTTATTTTATAATTTAGTAAAGACCTTAAATCAAAAAGAATTTTTATTTGATAAATTTTATTAAAGTTTTAATATAAGCTTAGAAATTTTATTATTTTAATCTATTTTCACCAATATTTTCAAAAGTACATAATTCTATAAAAAGAAGCCCTAAAGAAAAAACATCGCTTTTAAAAGGATTATATTCGCTAAATTATTCATTTAAATTATCATAAATTTCAGGAGCCATATATGTTTTTGTTCCTATAATACTTCTATTGATTGTATTATCTTAATCTGGATTTATTTGAGTTCCTACCCCAACATCACATACTTTAAATATTTTATTTTATAGTTAATCTTCCATTACTATTATGTTTGATGGTTTTATGTCTCTATGAGCTATATTATTTATTTATAAATGTGCAAATACATCAATAAGGCTTTTAATTAAATTAACTAACTCATATTCATTAAATTAAGGAGTCTATTATTATTATTTAGCTTATTTCTGTAATAAACGTTTATATTTATCTAATGAAAGTAAGCCTTTTTCCATTATTATATTTCCGTTATATAATCCTTACTACTTTTATATAAAATATCCGTAATATTTTATCATATTAGGATGTGGATACTAAACACATTTTTCTAATATTCGAATTTCATTTTTAAAACTACCATACAAATAGATATCTTATAAATCTATTTTTATCTCTTTTAAACATTCAGTAGTAGAATTTGTATAAATATTTATGGCTTCAAAAACTTTGTTGTTTCCCTGTGCAATAAATTATCCTTTTTAGTATTTATCAAAGAGTTTTTCATCGCCTTCAATAAATTCATTTTATTTATATTAATTCATTTTTTAAGATTTTATTTAAATTTTTTATTATAAATTTTTTTATTTTTTCTTAAATTTTTATTTAAAATTATAAAAAATTCGATTTTAATAAATTTTTTTTATTTAATTTTATTTATTGATTCTTACAATATTATTTTTGAATAATTATTTATTTTTATCTCTAAGTATTATTAATAAATAAATAAAAAAATGGATATTTTTAAATTTATATATTTTGAATATTATAAAATAGATTTTTTTTTAATGATTTCTTAAAAAAAAATGGAAAAATATGAAATTAAATTCAAAGCATTATAAATAATTTAAATAATATATATATTTATTATAGTTTATAAATATTAATAATTTTTTTTTATAATGAATTTATCTGTATTTTTTTAAAAAAATACTCAATCAACTAAAAAAAAATGAGAGAAAAATGGTTAATAGCTTTTTTTTATATTAAAAAAAAAAATACTGGACATAATTATAGTCTATATTTTTATTTATTTATGTAAAAGAATTATTTAAATATATAATCTTTATTATTAATTTAGAATATAATAGAATTAAGAAAAAAAAAGAATTTTTTTTTTTTTTTAATAATTATTACTATAAAGATATTCCATTTTTGTATTTATATAATTTTGTTTGAATTAGTTTCAATTTAAATTAATATAATTAAATTAATAAAATTCAATTATTTTTAATATTAAAAAATAATAAATTATTTTATAAAAAAATATTATTAAAATAATATTTATAATTATTTATTATATTAATTTGTTTTCTTTAACATTTTTTTAAAATGTCATAAAATTAAATTATTTTAACTGAAAGTGAAGAAACAAATAAATAAATAAAAGATCAATAAAATCAAATACTTGTTACTTAAAGAGAAGAATAAAATACAAGATTTGATAATATAATTGTTAAAAAGCCTAATTATGATATAAAAAATAATTAATAACAATAAATAATAAGAAAATTTGAAGACCTATAAAAGTTATAAGATTAAAAATAGTAAAAAAAATAGAAATCTAATTAAAAAATAAAGTATTAATAAAAAAAAAATAAAAAATATAATAATTAAAAAGGTTAATTGGTTAAAACAGAAGAAGAATAAAATTTCTTCTTGACTATAAACCAACTAAATTTTTTATTGTTTTATTAGTTTTAATCTATACATTAATAATATGTATAAATATAATTTTGGATAATTTTACAGAAAATACAGATACACAAAATATATAAAAAATATTGATTTTTATTGAATTAGTTATTTTAGTGATATTTACAATCGAAATATTTTTAAACGTATATGCAAAATCATGTTAAGTATAATTAAATTTATTTTATAAAATAAGAATATATTTATAATTAAAAATAGTATTTTAATGATAAATTATAATTGTTAGATGCATTTATAATTATAATAAGTATTATGTTAATTATTATTGAAATAAAGTTTGATAATATAACTACATTTACGAATATTGCTTAAATATTTAGGGCTTTGTTTAGATTATTTAGAATATTTTTACTTTTTAGAAAAGTAAATACATTTAAAAACTCTAAAATAGTAAATTAAATAAGAACACCGGCATAAAAATTAATTTAGATTTTAGAAAATTTGAAAGATGTGTTCGATAATATATCCATTATTAGAAAATTCTAATGGATAATAGAAGTTATTTAATAAAATAGTCTCTATGAACCTTAAATAGAGGAAAAAAGTGAAGGCAAATAAATAATAGTATTATATATTTGATTAAATTAGATATAAAATAATATAAAAAAAGGGTGATGATTGGTTTTAAAAAAGAAGTAGATAAAACTTTCAGTATTTTATATCATAAAATAAGAATAATAAATACAATATTAATTTAGGTTAATAATAACAATAATATTAAACTACAATCGTTCCTTAAAATATTTTAGATTATTTTAATAATTATGTATTTTTTATTAAAGGCTTTATGCTTTATATTTTTTAAATGTTTAATTCCTTTATAATTAAAAAAAAAAAAATTAAGGTTGAAGATATTTCATGTTTTGACTGTTTTGAATTATAGAAATTCGGATAAGGAGAAGAACTTTCTTATTTATTATTATTTTTATTTGAAAAAAGATAGTTAATTAATTAACTTTAAATTGATTTTAAAATTTTTTTTGGATTTGCCAAAAATATTTAAAACAATTATAAATAGGAAGCTATTTATCATAGTTAATTGCATGCTTTTGATGTTACTTAATTTATGCATTTTCTTCTTATTAAATGCAACTTTATAGATTTAGCAGAAGTTTCTCCATTAGAAGAAGCTGCAATATATATATCAGCTTCTTCTCATGACTATTAGCATCCGGGGCTTAATAATTAATATATGATAAATACTTAAAATAATTTAGCTCTTAAATATAATGGTATTTTTAAATAAATAGATATATTATTTATCTTTTTATTTTTAAAAATAAAAAGATAAAAGTGTATTAGAAAATTTTCATGTGAGTAAAATGTTTGAAGATACATTAAATAATGAAAGTATAAATATATTCAGATCATTTACAATAAAAGAATTCAAAATAATAAGGCAAATTATTATAAATATGATTCTAGCTACTGATATGTCACGTCACTTTTCTGATATTGGAAAAATGAAAACAAGATTAGATTCAGGTATATTTAAATATATTATTATTTTTTTATTTAAAAAGATATTAGATTTCGATATAAAAAATAAAGATAAATAAAATTGCATGGAAATTCTAATCCATGCAGCTGATCTGAGTAATCCTATTAAAAATTGGAAAATATCTTATTAATGGTCTATTAAAATCATGAATGAATTCTTTAATTAAGGAGATAATGAAAAGTAATTAGGATTACCTGTAACTTATTTATGTGATAGGGATAATGTTAATATTCCTAAAAGCTAAATTGGATTTATTGATTTTGTAGTTAAACCACTTTTTGAAATTTGTGTTTCTTTTTTACCTGAGTTAAAAGTTTATTTATAAAATTTTGATATTAATAAATAATAGTGGAAAGAACTTGAAAATTCAAAAAGTTTTTTTTTTTTTTTTTTTTTTATTATAAAATATAAAGGTGTAAAAATCTATTAAGAATTTTGAAATTAATAATAATTTTTTTCTTTTTAATATTTAATATAGCAAAAAATAAATCTCTAAATTATTTATATGTAATAAATATGTATATATATATATATTTTAATTATTCCTATTTATTATTTTCAATCTTGCCCTTTTTCTTTTCTTCTTTACATATATTATTTTCTGATTTCTTCTGCTTCTTAAGGAGGAACAGCTTCATGGTTTTTATATTCCATTGAAAATTCTCCCTGTAAAATAATATATATAAATACTAAAAAAAAATATATATTAATAAAAAAATAAACTTGTCCAGAAGTTAATCCTCTTAATTCAGTAGCAAATCCAAACATTTATTATAAAGGACAATCAGCATTTAGTACAAAAATATCATCTCTAGATTCTGTATTAGTAATAGAACCTCTTCTTTTAGAAATAGAAGCCATAACTTATGACTAATAAAATAATTATTTATAAACAAATAAATAATAAAAAATAATTACATATTCAGAACCAGAACAAGTAACTTCAACATTCATTATAGGTTCCAAAATAACAGGTCCAGCAGAAGCAAAGGCTTTTTAGAAAGCATATTTAGTAGCAATCATAAAAGCATTAGACGAAGAATCTACAACATGTGTTTATCCATCTTCTAGTACATATTTTATATTAATAACTGGATATCCGGTATTAGGTCCCTTTTTGTATGAATTATTATGCTTAATATATATAAAATGTATATTACTTTTTCAATAACTTCATAAAATCCTTTTTCACAAGCTGTAATAAATTCATTAGGAATAGATGTTCCAGTGACCTTATTTTAGAATTGACAAGAATAATCTTAAGGGTCTTCAGGATTTATAAGAGGTTCTATATATCCTATAACTCTAGCAAATTAGCCAGCACCTCCACTTTGTTTTTTATGTAAATAATCAAAATATGCTTTTTAAGTAATAGTTTCTCTGAAATTGACAGTTGGATTTCCAACAATGACTTCACAATCGAATTCTCTTTTCATTCTTTCAGCGTAAATCTAAAGATGTAATTCACCCATTCCCGAAATTATAATTTCCTCACTTTCTCTATCAATACCAACTCTAAAAGTAGGATCTTCTCTTTGGAATTTCTTTAAAGCTTTATTGAATTTCACACTAGCTTTATTATCTTTTGGTTTGATACATAAAGAAACAACTGGTTATGGTACAAACATGGAACTACATCTAGCCTAGAATTATAAATCTCCGTCACATAAAGTATCTCCAGTAGCGCAATCAACTCCGAAAATAGCGAAAATTTCACCAGGACTGACTTCGTTGATGTCTTCCATTTAATTTGCATGCATTTTAATCATTCGAGAGATTTTCATTTTTTTCTTAACAGTGGTATTGTATACATATTCACCTTTTTTAAGTTTTCCTTAATAAACCCTTATATATGTAAGCTATCCAAATTTATTTTCCTCTAATTTAAATGCGTATCCTACAAAAGGAAGCTTAGGATCAGGTTAAAAAATTATTGGTTCTTCATTTTTATCACCTTTTATTAAAAAACCCTTGTTTATTTTTTCTTAGGGATTTGGTAAATAATCACAAACACCATCTAAACATAATTATATTCCTTTGTTTTTATATGCAGATCCCATAAATACTGGAGAAAATTTCAGTTATATCGTTTGTCTTCTTATTGCGTCTTTTAAAGCTTAAACACTTATCTCACCTTCTGCTAAATATATTTCTTCTATTTCAGGATCAAGTTCAGCAATAATTTCTATTAATTCTTGTCTTTTTTATTTTGCTTATTCTAAAAGAGCTTCAGGGATATCACTAGTAACAATTTAATCACCCTTTTCGCCTTAAAAAAGATGTGCCTTCATCAAATTAAGTCAATACATCCCTTTAGGCTTTGATCAATTCCTATAGGTATTTAGACAGCTGCGGCATGTATTTTAAACGTTTTCTTATCATATCTACAGCTGCAAATGGATTAGCACCCATTCTATCAAGTTTGTTTATAAATATTACACGAGGAACTGAGTAACGCTGCATTTATTTAAATACAGTCAACGTTTAAGGCTATACACCTGCAACTCCACATATTAATAATACTCCTCCATCTAATACACGAAGAGCTCTCTCTACTTCTATAGTAAGGTCTACGTGACCAGGAGTATCCATGATATTTATATTAGTATCTTTCCATTTTAGATGCGTGGCTGCACTTTATATTGTTATACCCTATTTTTTTTATTATATATACATGTATGTTTGTAATTTTAATATTTTACTCTTTCACGCTCTAATTCCATAAAGTCCATTGTTGCTCCTATTCCATCCGTACCTTTGACGTCATGTATTGCTCCTATTTTACCTGCATATAAAGAACACGTTCAGTAAATGTTGTTTTTCCAGAATCTATATGAGCTGAAATACCTATGTTGCGCAAACTTGCGAAGTAAAAAGGATATAGAAAGGTGAAAGCTTTATATTTTTATTAGAGAACTTTCTATGATTTAGTTAGTTAAAGAAATGTATGTTTATTTAATTAATTAAAAAACATTTTTTTTTAACTATTTTATTAAATTTTATTTAGTTTAAATATAAATATATATATATTCACAGACATAAAATTATATCTTTTTTTTTTTTTGAAATTAAAGCATATTAATTTTGTACATTTTTAATTAATTAAATATATGATATTAATATATCTATATTTATATTTAATTATATTTTATTTTCTAAAAAAGTTATAAAAAAAAATGACAAGCAAAGCTTTCTTAGGTTAAAAAGCTCCTGAATTTTCAACAGTTTCTGTAACTGATAAATTTGAAAAAATAAGTTTATCAGATTTTGAAGGTAAATGGTTACTTTTATTTTTTTATCCAAATGATTTCGGATTTGTATGCCCTACTGAAATATTACAATTTTCTAATCATTCAGTCGAATTAAAAAAAATAAATTGTGAAGTTTTAGGATGCTCAATAGGTTCTTAATTCTAACATCACGAATGGCTTTCTAAACCTAAATCAAAAGGAGGTATAGCTAATTTATAAATACCTTTATTAGTTGATATTACATAATAAATTTGTAGAGATTATGGTACTTTAATACCGAATGGACCTAGAAAAGGATCTTGTTATAGAGGTACTTTTATAATTGACCCAAGAGGAATTATTAGACATATATCTATTAATGATATTCCTGTAGGAAGAAATGTAGATGAAATAGTTAGACTTATTTAAGGATATTAGTTTTATGAAGAATTCGGAGAAATGTGTCCAGCCAAATGGAAACCTCATACTAAATCATAAGTACCTAAAGTTGACTAAAACAAATTAAAATAATATTGGGAAAACGAGCATTTTTAATAATGAAAAAATAAGTTTAAATACTTATTAAAATATGTATTTATTTTTTTTACTTTTGATTTATTTTATAATTTTTTTTTTTTTATATCTTTTTAATTATTATAAATTTTATTTGTAAAAGTAAGATAAATTAACTAAAAATTGAACATTATTTTAAATAAATTTTGTTAATAGAAAATAAATTAATTTTAAAAAACACAATAAATTATTTTTTCTTGATTAAAAAAAATAAATATTTTAATTAAAAATATAAATTTAAAAATTTTAATAAATTATAAAAAAAAAATTTATATTAAGAAAACAAATTGAAAAATATATATATTAAGTAACAATAGTTATTTAAATTAATATAAAAATAAGAATTGTAAATAAACATATTAATATAATAAAAAAAACAATATAAAAATTAATAAATATTAACTATTCAATATACAATGTCATTATTTATTCATTAGAATTTCCATTAGTAAGTTAGGCTCATTAATAAGTTTTTGAAATTCAGGTTTTTTTTTAATTTCTTCTAAATTATCAAGAACATATTTAAAACAATGTTTTTTTAAAATAGCACACCTATATTTCTAACTAATAATTAAACAGTCAATCACATTTATAAAATTTATTTAATTAATAATAGATTCTTCGCATAAATACTTTAATCTTTCCAAAAAATATTAATCGCTAAGAGGAATTAAGCTTATAAGTCCTTTTAAAGGTAAATTCGAATCAAATTGATCTGTATAAATATAAGTAATCATATTCATAAAAGCATCATAAGAAACATCTTTTAATTAAATAGGTAATTGATTATCTAAGCTTTCTTTTAATCCACTAGTGAACATCATTTTAAAATATTCGCTTCTAATAGATAGAATGTTTTTATTAGCATAAATAACTTATCCATCAATTTAAAACTAAATATCACTTAATTATTTATTGTTTATTAACTAATACATATCATTTAAATATGTAGACTAAGGGATTATTCCTGCTGGAAATTGAAATTTATAAAAATCATTTAATACATTAAATCCATTATAGCCACCAAATAAATAAAGAGAATTCTCATAAACTTAAAAAATCTTTTAAAAAAATAAAATATAATATAATTTCATAATTTTTTATTATAGAAATTTTCTTTATTATAAAAAAATAATAAAGGTATATAATTCATTTTAAGTTAATTTGTTTTTTTTTAAAAAAATCATATTAAATATAAATACCATAGAAGAACGGCCAGCAGGAGGATCTTTTTATTCTAATTTATTCCAAATTTTAGTTTAAATATTGAATTCATATAAATCATTAAGTCTAATTTATCCATTATATCCACCGAAAATATAAATTTTATTCTGATAACATATTTAACTATGAAAATATCTACAAGAAGGGATTTCTCCTTTTTATTATATTTTAATACATTTTCCTTTCCTCATATTAATTTTATAGAAATCATTTAATTTATCGACACCATTAAAACCTCCAAAAATAAACAAATATTCATCTACAGAAAAATAACTAGGACATGATCTTTCTGAAGGTGTAATGTTCAAAAGGACTATTTTTTTCCAAAATCCTTCAATAAAATCATATTCATAATAATCATTTAACCAATATGTACCCTCAAAACCTCCAAAAATAACAAGTTTATCTTTATATTTTCCAGAAGCAAATCCAAATCTTTAACTTGGAACATCACCTTTATTTTACAATTTTATCCATTCAAATGTATATAAATCTAGTGAATAAAAATCATTTAACCAACAAACACCATCATATCCGCCAAAAATATACATCTTATTATCATAAACTGTTGCTCCATTACTTTCTCTAGCAGTTGGTTTTTATCCTTTAGTTTTTATTTTTGTCCATTTTTAGGTTTTGAAATTATATTAATTTATTTCAGATAAACGGCCATTAAATGTAAATCCACCAAAAATATATAAGCAATCATTATGTATTATTGACGCTGAACTACTTCGTTAACATGGCTTTTCGTATGATTTTTAATCTACTTTTTCCCACATCTATTAATCAAACATTTAGAAATTTTTATCACCAATTGAGTCATGAATATTATAATAATTTTATTAATGTACGAATTCTTCTATCGGATATATTTATTAACTTTAACTTATATTTTATTAATATGAATATCTAGTATTGTTACTTTTTTTTTTTTTTTAATATTTATTTTTTATTATTTTTTTAAATACTTTCTTTAAACTTCGAATTCGAAATTTTGTTAATAATTAATATTATTTTCTGATATTCTTGTTTACTATTAAAATTAAAATTATGTTTAAGATTATTCAGGAGAATTTGCTTCTTAGTTATTAGTAAATTAACTAATACTTCTTCTGTGCATTATATATGTTTTTTTAACTTTATTTAATAATTTTTTTTTTTTATATTTATCTATATTTTTTTTTTTTAAAATAATAATTTTTTGTATTTTTAAATTAAATTTAATTAATAATTTTAAAAAGAAATTAATATTTTTATTTTTTTAAATTGTTATAGTGTTATTATTTATGATTCATTAATATAAATTTTATATTAAATTTTTTAAAACAATATTCTTTGACAAATATTATAATAATAACATTAGATTCAATAATAATTATGAAATCTTTATTAAAAAATTTAAAAGAAAAAAAAAAAAAATTAAATAATTATAATTATATTAAATTTATAATTATTATTAAAAAAAATAAGAATTATTATAAATTATTTTATGATTTAAAATAATATATTGAAAAAGATATTTAAAAAATAAATATTTTAAATGTTATATATATAAAAAAAAAATATATAAATAAATATATATATATATATATATATTATATATATATATATTTATTTTTATATATATATATACTATTAATTTAAATTTTTTATTAAATATATTATAATATTTTCTTAATATTTCAAAAATCTATAAAATTTTTTTATCTTATTATTTACTATTTTTCTACAATTTAATTTTTTTTAAAAAAATATATATTCATGTTTTATATAGAATAATTATATATTTTATGTTATATTTACTATTATATTCAATTAATAATTTCTATTTTATTTAATAAGAAATTCAATAATTTTTGAAAATATTTTTTATATAATATTAAATAAAAAATATGATATACATATTATTAATTTTAATATATAATATAATTTCATTTTTATTTATTTTTAGATTTAAGCTTTTCTTTTTTATTAACTTTTCCTAAATCTTTTTCATATTACTTTTTTGTAGCATTTATAAAAACATCATTCCCTTCATTAAAATAAAAGTTAGTCCTTTCAAAACAATTACCATTAATTTTAGGATATTTAAGCATAATATTAGAACAATATTTTTCTATATTTAATGTGCTATTCCATTTTGGATTTACAATTTTAATTAAATTTTTGAAATTAATTTCTAATTATTTCTTTTATTTTATTTCTTAAATGTTAACAATTACTAATTCTTCCTCATTTTAATTTTTTTCTTTTTAAAAATTAGTATTTATTAAAAATAATATTTCAGAATCATCATCTTTTTTGAAAGAATAAATTAATTCAAAAAATCGTGTCAGTATTTAGAGTTACTCTTTTTTAATTTTTTAAAATTCTTCAAAAATAATACATAAAATTCCTGTTTTTTTCTTCAAAATTTACTAAGCTTATTTCAAAAATTCAATGTATTAGATAATATTTTCCTAAATACTAATTATTATAAAATCAAAAATTTCTATGTGTTATTAAATAAATTATTCTTCAAATTATGTATCTTCTTTTGTTTTCAAATGTTATTTATATATTATTTATGTTCTTTTTTCTTAATTGAATTATAAATATTATTATTTTACTTTATATTCTTCTTCATTCTCTTCTATTATTTTTAAATTTATATTAGGAAAATGTTTTTAAATAAATTTAGATAATGCAAGTAATCTTCTATTAAAAATTAAAATATTTAATTCTTCTTACATATATTTTTGTTCAAAAAAATCTGTATCAAAAAGAGAAAAACTTGATATTATAGCACTTTTTTATTTATTTATTTTTTAAAAAAACTGTATATAAATATTATTTTTACATCGAATTTTCACATAATATATGATTTTCATCTATTTGACCATTTTTAGGAATTCTAAAAACTGAATCTGTTTTTATGTCTTCGTTTTTCAAAATAAAAATCCTCAAATTATTATCATCTTCTTCATTTTAATTTATTTCTTCAATAATATATTTTTCATTTTAAAATATAATTTCTTTCTCTATTAAAAATATTTTTTAAAAAATAATATATATATTTTACCGTTTAGCTCTTCGTAAATAAACTCTATTTCTTATTTTATTTTTTTTGGTTTTAATTAATTTAAATGTTCTTGAATTTCTAATTATATTGATTCGAAATTTCCGAAACTAAAGCCTGGATTTAAGAAAACAAAGAAAATCCTACAAAAATTATTAGAATTAAAAATTTAGTTGATAACACTTTATTAAAATCTTTTTCCATGTTTAAATATAAAGCATCCACACTTTTTCTTTTTTTTAATAATTAAATAAATTAAAAATACATATAATTTTTATATATACTAAATCTAATTATTTTTAATTAGATGAATCGATAGAGTAAATATTATATTTTGATAAAAATTTAAAACAGATAATTTATGAGATTTTTAGCTTTTTAATCTTTATGAAAAAACAATTACTTTATATAATTTAATTAACAAAACTAAAAAATTATTATTTATTAAAAAAAGAATTAATTAATTAATTATCAATGTAATAACTAATTTTTTGTTTATTTTCATCTTCTTTTTACATAAAAATGCATTGTGTTAAAAAAGGAATTATTTTACTTTTTTTCTATTCACATTAAAAAAACGAAATTCGATAATTTTTTTCTAAGATAAATTAAACAAAATCTTAAAAAATTGCAACATTTATAAAAGAAAGCGAAATAAATTAACTTTCATTTTCTTCATTTAATATAGACACAACTTATTAAAAAAATATATCTATATTTTCTAATTAAATTCTGTCTAAAAAGCCGTTTTCAATAATAATATTAAATTCATTTTTTTAAAATTAATTGTTTAGAAAGTCTTTCTATTGCTTTTCTTCATTTTTTACTTTAAATTTAATTTGGTTAAAATCAATATAAGTACAATTCTTATATCCTAAATTCGTTAAATATTAAAATAATAATTAATTATTATTTTCAATTATTAAAATCTTTGTATTTTCTTTTTCTTTTAGAATTCTTTATAAAACTAAACTATATAAATTCAAAAAATTAAGTTCCTCTTATAAGTCTTTTTCTTTATTTTTTATAATTTTTTTAATTTGTTTCTGATGAAAGTCTTTAAAATCTTCAAATTTCAAAGGTTGTATTTCCATTTTATATTATATTAAATATTTTTAATTTTAATTAATTAAAAAAAATAAAAAATCAAAGTTATAAATAAGATAAAAATATAATATGCACATATTTTTATACTCAAACAAAACATAAAATATTTCTACTTTTATGAATTTATTATTAAAAAATAAAACAACAATATTTTCAAAAAAACTTTAAATTTTTAGCAAAATTAATATATTATTGGACCATTTCTTTTGTAATTCTAGGTTTAACCATATTAAGAGCATTCTCAAAATCTTTATTTTCAACCACACTAGTGTAAATATCTCTACTTAAGGCACTTAGTCCTGCTTCCCGAACAATCAAATTAATTTCTGCTCCTGAAAAGCCTTCTGTTTTAATAGCTAATTCATCAATATTAATCTCATCAAGGTTAACTGGCATTCCACTATCAAAAATGTTAATTTTTAGTATTTCTTTTCTGCACAATAAATCAGGAGGAGGAACATAAATTAGGTGGTCAAATCTTCCAGGTCTAGTTAAGGCTTTATCAATAATTTCTGGACGATTGGTAGCTGCAACAATAACAACATTCTTAAGTCCTTCGATACCATCCATTTCGTTTAGCATTTAACAAAGCACTCTTTCTGAAACGTCAGTACTTTATTTTTTAAAATTAATAATAATATATTTATTTGTTCATATTTTATATTTTTTTTGTAAAAAAAAATAACTCAATTATAATTTAAATAAAATCTCTTGTATTTACAAATTATAAAAGATCTTTTATAATTTGGTTATACTTGAAAAACTAATAATTAAAAAATAATTATTTAAATTGAGTTATTTAAAATAAGAAACAATATGAAAAACTAATATATATAACTTACTTTATAGATCTTTAAGTCGCTATAGCATCTATTTCATCAAAAAAAATAATAGATGGCGCACATTGCCTCGCTCTTCTGAATACATCTCTTACTGCTTTCTCTGAATCTCCTACATATTTACTAAATAACTCAGGACCTTTAACAGCAAGGAAATTTAGTTTACTTTCAGTAGCAATAGCCTTAGCAATCATAGTTTTCGAGCATCCTGGTGGCCCGTACAATAGAATACCTTTAGAAGGCTAAATACCCATTCTTTTAAATGCTTCAGGATGTTTAAGTGGCCATTCTATGACTTATTTTATTTAATCTTTAATATTACTATATCCCCCAATATCTTTCCATAAGACCTTAGGTACATCCATTAATATTTATTTAATTCCGCTTGCATGTACTCTAGAGAGTGCGTTTTGAAAGTTCGAAAAATCTAGTACTTTTTTATCTTCTTTTATTTGTTCCAATAGAGCTTCTCGTATTAGTGAAACAATATCAGCTCCTGTAAATCCATGTAATTATTAATTTATTTAAAAAATCATATCTTCATCTAAATTATGAGTGCAATTTTGCATATAAATATTTAAAATTTCTAACCTTTCATTTTATTTTGGTATTTCGAATTTTATTTATTTTTCTAAACGACCTGCTCGACATAAATTCTCATCTATTTTTTTTTATTCTGATGTAGCACAAATTACTAATATATGGTCTGTTTAAGATTAGATTTTATCTAATTCTACTATAAATGTATTTATAATTGTTTTGTTTGATTTATCGCATAATATATGTAAATCATCTATAAATATTATCGTACCATTATCATTTTTTTCCTATACCGCCAAATTAAAATAATTTTCTAACTTCTTCTCTCCTTCCCCTATTAATTTTGTTAAAAGGGATTTTGTATCTACAATTAAAAAACGAATTTCAGGATGATTTTATATAAGCTTTTTTATTAAAAGAGTTTTTCCTGTACCAGACGGACCTGTAATTAAAATTCCCTATAAATAATATAATAATAATATGTTATTTAAAAAAAAAACTTTGTTTGGTTGTATTCCTGAATTAACAAATAATTAAGAATTTTTTATAGAAATATTTATACAATTTTCAAGTTCTTATTCATATCTATCAATTCCACTTATAATTAATTATTTTTTTGCATAATTTTAACTATTTTAATTATTCTTTTCTTAATCTGTTTACTATGTCTCTTCTATTTCAATAAGTTAGAATACTGTCCTTTAATATTTTTTATAATAATTATATATTTAAATATTATTTACTTTTTTGAAATTATATAATTTTATTCAATTTCTTAGTCTTATTATTATTAGCCTAATATTTTAATAATTTTAAATTAACTTTTTTTGCCATATATTGTAAATGATAATATGTTATCTTTAGCTACAATTTAATTCATACTAAGCTCTTTAAAATAAGACATAACCAATTGTTTATTTAACTGAATAAAATATATATATTAAAATTAATATTATAATAATGTTTATAAAACTTAATCTAATTATAATCTTTCTTATATGCATAATAAAGTTATATTAATAGCTTCTTATATATTTTTATCTGTGTTTAATAAAACTTTTACATCATTTTCATCATTTTTATTTATTTTTTTATTATTATTTTTTTTATTTCCCTACATTTAATAAGTAATTTTATTATATAATATTATAAATTTATATTTTTTTTATTTTATATTTTAGAAATTAAATATTTAGTAATAATGATGATATCAATAAAAATGAATATTAGCAAAATACTTTTATTTAGCAATTTAAAAATATATAAAAATTAGTAAAATAGATAAAATAGTAAAATAGATAAAATTAAAAAAAAATGATGAAAATATATTAATAGATATTAAAATAATTATTAATTTATATAATTAATAATTTAAAAATATATAAAAATTATAAAATAAAAATATATAAAATAAAAAAGATATGTATAAGATATTATAATATATATAAAAAAAAAAACATATAATATAAATATAAATATAAATATATAATATAAATATGTATAAATATAATATATATATAAATAAATATATATTATTATATAAATATATATATAAAATTAATATATATACTTTTGTTTGTTTATACATTATTTTATATAAATATATATTTAAATGTTTTTTATATCTATATATAATTATACATGTATTTTTTTATTTTAAAATTTATTTAAAGTTCTCACTTATATTTTAATTTTAAACATAAATATTATATGATGCATATTTTTATAATTAAAACATTTTATATATTTGCTTTAATTCTTCATTATTTAAGATTTCTTTTTATCCATGCTACTTAATATTATTAGCTAGCTAATTTAAATTAAATTTTTTATATGCCTCATTATATTATATACTTTTTTTTCTATGTAATTTAAGCAGGCTATTTTATTTCAATTTACTCTATTATCATTCTATTCTTTTTTATCATACTATACTCATTACTATTTTTTAAATATAAACTATTATAATTATATTATTTTTATATAACTATATACATTCTATTCTAAAATGAAAAACATATATTTATATATTTATAATAATATTTAATAAATAAATTTAATTTTTTATATTCTTTTTATCATTATTATTTAAATATAACTATTCTTTTTTAATATTTATTATATTTTTAATATTTTATTAGTTTAAATATAATATAAATCTTTATTTTATAATATCTTAATAGTTTATTTAATATCTTTATTTGAATTTTTTATTCTTGATTTATATAATTTTTTATAATAAATTAGTTCGAATTAATTTTTTAATAAATTTAAAAATTCAACAAATTCTTTCTTTAATTATGTATTAAAATTATTTTTATGAAATATTTATTTTATAAATAGAATTCTAAACTCTATATTTGCTATTTTCGTCTTAAAAATTATGATTTCTTAAAAAAAATGGTTAATAAATTAAAAAAAATTAAAAAATACTAATGATAATAAATATAAAATTATTTTTATTCTAATTAGCATAAAATAAAAGCTTATTATTATTTTACCAATTTGCGATGTGTATTTTAAATAATTTATAATTTTATAATAAATTAATTTAATTAATAATATTTTATATAAGGTATTAAATACAAAATATTAGACATTTAGATATATTTAAATTTAGAAAATTAAATATAGTTTTTTATTGTAAAATAAACAATTATGTTCCGTTTTTTTTTATTTTAGAAATATATATATATATGTTTGTTTAAAAAGCAACAAAAATCAAGTTATTAATTTCATATTTTAATATAATTAAAATGTTTTTATAGTAAATTTTAATGAGTATATTATAATTTAAGAATATCTTTTTTTAATAAAAAATATTTTGCATAATATAAAGAAAATCAAAGCTTTGAAACATAAAATGACCTTTTCCTCTTAAAATTTATAATTTTTTTTCTTAAAAAATTTAAATATAAAAAAAAATTAAACTACAAAAAGCATTAATTATTTAATAATTAAAACTCAATATATTTTCAATTTTTTTTTAATAAAATCTTAAAGAAAACAGGAATTATTTCTTTCAAAAAAATATTCACATTCTGCAAAATCTTCCTTTAAACAAAAAACTTTAAAATTATGAATTTCAATTTCATCTACAAAATCATCACTTTCAAAAATATGTTCATTTGTTCTTACTTGATCTGCAAAAAATTTTACGAAATATTTAGAAAGTTCAACTTAATTATTATCATGCGAATTATCAACACTTCTTTTTAAAACAAACCTTGGAATTTCAGGATGAAATTAAACAGCGAAAAATGGATATTTTTCATGTTCATAAGCACATACAAATGATTTTCCCTATAAATCTTTACAAAAAACTAAAGCTTAAAATTACAATGGTTTCAAAAATTAATTAAATTTTTCTGGGAAAACAGCCCACTAATGATAAAAATAAAGAGATTTTTCATTTTCAATATATTGAATATACTTTTCATCAAGTTATTCAAACATTTTTCCTTTTAAAGCTATTATATTTCCACTTTTAGTGTTATTCTAGTCTTTTACATCATCAAGTATTTTTTCGTAGTTGGTAAATCCTAAACTCATTAATTAAAATCCTAAGCAAGTTCCCCATAAAGGAAAATAGTCTCCTTTTTCATTAAATTATTATGCCTTTTTTAATATATATTGTACAGTATTTGTCATTCTTGTAAAACCTTCTTTTTATTATACATCTAACCATAAATCTGCATCTCCTCCAGGAAAGTAAACTCCATTTACTTTGGAAAGTAGAAAATCTATTTCTTAATATGTGTAGTTAGAAAATATAGGAATTACTTTTAATCCCTCACTTCGTATATGTTATACATCTGCTGCATTTACCCAATCATATTTTTCTTTAGGATATTTAGAATTCGAAGATGGTTACATAAACATTCCTACTGAGTTTATATATTAGAAAGATATAGAAACAAGTTATATTATTAATATTATCCTAAAAAAACACATTTTTCCTAATGTTATTTTTTTAAATTATAACTAAATAAAAATCAAATTTTAACAAATTATTATTTAAAAAATAAAAAAATAATGATTAAATAACTAAATTTATATTTAATATATATAAAGATTCTACATAAAGGATTTTTTATCATTGACAAGCCAAATACGAATTACAAATTTTTAAGAATTATATATAATTCGCGTACTCAGAATTTGTGAATACGAATGCAAATTTTTCACAAATTTAGTTAAAAATAATGAAAATAGAAATTTTGCAAAAATTATATATATATATATATATATATATATTAATATTTAAAAAAATTAAATATTTAATATATACTTTTATTTTCTTATTATTAAAAAATAACTAACATATTTTTATAAATATATTTAATATTATTTTTATAAATAAATTATTTAAAAATAAACTTTTCTATCTTTAAATTGAATATTTTAATTAAATTACTTCTTAATTTATTTTTATGTTTATCTCAAAGTTTCTAAATTTAAATTATTTTTTATTCCAAAAGCAACTATATTTTTTTCTACATTTATTGTGCAAAAATTTTTCTATAATCGCTTAAAAAGTTCAAACAAATATAGAGCATTATACATTATACTATAATTTAAATCAGCTAAATCATACAAAATCTATTTATTTTTTAGTAAATTATTTATTTATTTATGTTTATAATTCTTCATAAGAAATTTCCAAAATTATATGTAAACATTTTATTGTTTATATTTTAATAATTTAAATTTAATGTATTTATTTATAAAAATTTATAAAATATATTTGATTCTACCTTTTTTATTAAAAGTATAAAAAATCATTCATATTCTATATAATAAAACCATTATAAAGTTTATAAATTGCTTTAGTAAAAAAAATATAAAAAATTGATTTTTAATTCTACAATAAATTTCTTAGAAAATAGGATAAATACAAATCTAAAATATCTATTATTTAATAAATATTAATTATAATAATATTAAATTATTTGATCCACAAAATAAATTCACAAACACTAATAAATTTAAATTAATATTTTGATATTATAATAAGAGTGTTGTCACTTTTTCTCAAAAAATAAAATTTTCTTATTTTCACAAAAATAAACTATATATGAGAGTTTAAATCCTTTGATATAAGTTTTAATATCAATGATATTAAGTTGCATTATATTTCAATAAGTAAAAACAGAAAATTTTCAATAATTTATACCATACTTGATCCTTAAATTCCATACACTTTATGATATTATAAGTTTTATAATTTAATAAAAAATTGTATTAAACATGAAGGTTGAACGAGGCTAACTTTAAAAGTCTGTAGCTCTACGGACTAATTAAATTTTTGACATGCTATATGGGAAAAAAAAATTATAAACATATCTAAAAAGTTAAAAAAATAAATAAATTTAAAGAATATTAATATATCGAAATAAATTTTATACTATATATATAAAAAAATATTTTTATTTTATAGTTAATAATAAAATAAATTATTTTTTTATTTAATATAAATAATATGCTTATATCTATAATTTTTTTTTTATATTATTTTTTAATTTTTTCTTAAATTCAATCAATAAAATTTAAAAACAATAAAATCATAACGACCTTTTTTTGATGTTAATTTTTTAAAAATAAAGAAAATATGAAAAATTAATAACTGAAAAATGCGAAATTTGCAACAGAATACGAAATCTTTATTTCGTTTCTATATAATTTTTATCTTTCGTTATGATTTTTCATCTTTTTGAAATTCCTTTTTGTTTTCATATTATTATTTTTTTTTCTCATCAAACTCAAATATATTTTAAATTTCAATATTTATTAAATAGAAAAAATGGTTAATTTTTATTCATAATTTCGAAATTATTTTGACACAAATTTAAAATATTATTTTAAAAATAAATATAAAATGAATTTTAGAGAAAATAAAAATAAATTATGAATTTAATTTAAATTAAGAAGTTTAAAAACTTTTGTAAAATAATTGTTAAATTATTATTAATAGTATTTATAAACAGTTTTTATTTAATTATAATAATAGCTTTTAAATTACTTATATTTTATTTGCTTATTATACTTTGAAATGATTCTATATTTTTTTTGTTTATCTTTTAAATGCATACTAAAATTAAATAATTTATTATTAACTTATAATTAAAAAAACAAGTATACACCAAAAAAAATATTTGCAACAATTTTATAATTAAATTAAAATATATATATATATATATTATAAACAAAATCAAAAATATTTAAATATATATTATATAAAAATTATTTACATATTTTTTCATTGTAAAATATATATTTAAATTTTAGACAATATATAAATATTTTTTAAAATATTTTATAAAAAAACTAGTATGAGTTTATTATAATTTTTTTTAATATTATGTAATAGTTTTATAATTTATTGTTTAGATATGTTAATCCTTATTTTCTAGCATTTTTTATATGTAGTAATCATAAAAATATATAAAAATTAAAAAATATGTAAATTTTTCGTATTTCACATCCCTTAAAAAATTTAGGAGATTGTGTAATATTTTTCTCAAATTAATTAAATATTTCGATATATTATTCTACAAAATTTGGTGAAATTATTCAAAAAAAAATGCACTTATACTTTAGTAATATCTTATTTATACTATTAAGCCTTCAATTTAGCCGATAATGATATGTAACATCATAAAATCTTATTTGAACAGTTTCAAAATATTAAAAGAATATTTATTATTTATTTTCAAGTTTGCATATTTTACATTTTTTATTTTTTTTAAAAAACAAAAAAACTCAACTGAAAAAAAGTAATTACATTTATAAAACATAATTATATGTAAAAATTTCATTAAAATAATTTTATTATCCCAAATATAAATAAAAAAACTGTAATAAAGTCTTTTTATAAGTTTTATATTAGATCATAATAAGTAAATATTAACTAAGTATTTCATATATTCGTAATTTTTACATTAAAAATAAAATAAAAAATATATATACATATTTATATTATAAATAAAATTTAAAAATAAATTTATAATTAAATTATTATTTTTTTGAAATAAAGATAATGAAGTTAACCATTATATTTTTATTTTTGTAAATTAATTTTTTAATTATTAATTAATCTATTTTTTATTATTAAGAAATCAATAAAAATACTATTATTTATGTCTATAATACCGAAGCAGAAAAATTTCTATATTATTAATAAATAGATAAAATATCGTACTTTTAATATTTCAAATTTTCGAATAAACATATAACTTTTCTTAACTTATATTAATTATTTAGTTGATTTTGCTTTAATTTCTTTATTTTTTAATATTTATCTGTTAAATCGTTTATATTTTATATTAGAGATATTAATATATTACTGGTTTTTATATTTTATTAGTTTTCTATAATTTTTTTAAAAATCTTGTGACTTATGTTTTTAAAAAGAATTATAGGAGAAAATAAAAAAAGTAAGAACAAATAATATATAGAGTTTGGATAATGAATTTTAGATACTAAAAATTTTAATTTTATTTATTTCTTAAAAAAAAAATATTTTCAATTTACTTTTCAAAAAATAAAAAAAAAATTTCATGAATTTAATTTTTATAAATAAAAAGTAAAATCTTTCGCTTAATATTTTCATTAAAATAAAAAATATATAAATTTTTAGTCTTTAATTTAGTATTAAATTTCTTATTAATTTCATCACTATTAATCTATTAAAAATATAATAATTTTAAATATTAAACTATTTTGAATAAATATTTAAAACATATAAAATTATAAAACAACAAAAATAATATATAAATTTATTATAAAAAGAAAAACAATAAAAATATCACTAAATCCAGAATTCAATTAACATATAATAAACAAAAAAAAAATATTATTTATATATTAATATATTATATTATATACAAAATAAATTATTTTTATTTATTTTAATTATATTTAAAAATTTTATATAAATTAAAAATTTATATAAATCTAAATAATTATATAATAGAAAGAATATCATATACCATTTATAATAATATTTATTTTGAAGTATAAATAATTAATTATTATTTTATTATAATTATTGAAAACCCATAAAATTATTTAATTTAATATATTATAAATAGAAAAAACTAAAAAGCAAAAAAGATTCCCTTCATACCTTCTCGGCCTTTTGGCTAAGATCAAGTGTAGTATCTGTTCTTATCAGTGTGACAACTGATACTGTCCCTATTAGGGACATGTGGTTTCACATTAATTTTTCATTGGGGTTGGGTTTACTAGTGGCTTGCCCTGGTCCCAACATAGTTGCCCTAGGCTTGCACGATTCCTAGGTGTGGCTAACCCATTAAAACAACACCCTTAATTAATTAAACGAAATTTTTAACAAATATATAGAAAGTTGTTTTAAACATATAAATTTTTTTTTTTTTTTTTTTCATTATTATTTTAAAATTGATTATTTTTTTATAATTTTGTTTAGATATTATGTGGTTTTTATTAGTTTCAATTATTTTAGTTATTTTTTTAAAAATTTTAAATCTTAAAATGCATTCATTATCAATTAAACCTACTTTTTTATTATTCTTCTTTAATAATTAAATTTTTTAATAATATATAATTTTAAAGTTTTTAATAATTTAACTATATTTTATAAAATTACAAATATTTTTTAGTATGTATTTATATTTTAAATTGCTAAAAATACCTAAGTAAAAATTTTTAATATGATATATTAATAGATAGAAAATTAATAGTAATTTTTTTGATAAAAATAATAAATAATAGTAAACTATTTAATACTTTTAATTTAATTTTTAATATTTTTTATTTTATTTAATAGTAAACTATTAATTGAATATATTGTATTTTTATAATTTATGATTTTTTAGAATATGGTATTATTTTTTTCATATTTTAAGGCCTTTATCAATTATTATTATGAGTATAAATTTTTAAAATTCTAAACTTCCTTGTTCTTGATTTCGAGTTTAATTTATTGCTCTTAAATCTTTATTATATATTTGAACTTTTGCATTATAATAATTATTTAATTTAAAATAATTAATCTAATACAACTATCTTGAAAGAAGTAGAAAGATTATAAAAAAGCTAACAAATTCATTATATTAAATAAATATAAAATATAAATTTTCTTAAAAATTACAATAACATAAAATTCTATTTACTATAATTAAATTTGTTAAATAGTGATATAATATATTTATTGAAAAAAATATTTAAATGAATGCTAAGAACTGGGAATTCAACTAAAGCTTAAATAAATATTTTACAAAACATTGAGGTTGATTTACTTTATAAAATAATAGATTTTAACCCATGTTAAATATTATAATCAGGTTTAACATATAATTTTAAATGTTTAGATAAACTTTTTAAAAATTTAAAATAGGATGATTTAGGAATTAGCAAAGAAACTAAATAAAAGATAATACTTAAATACTAGGCTTTTTTACCCTAAAAATATGATTGAATTTTTAATATATTTTAAATTTTATATTCTATTGATTTTATATCAAATATATAAAAAAAAATTATTAAAATTTAGATACTACTAATAAATTATAAGCCTTAATTAAATAATTATTGAGATTTGTGTATAAAAATAAATATATAATGTAAATAAAAAAATTATATTTAAAAAAAATAATTAAATTAAAAATTTTCTATTTTATAAAAGTAAAAAAACATTTACAATAAAATAAATAAATAATTTTTTTAATAAAAATAAAATTATATTTTTTTTATATTAATAAAAAAAATAGATATTTTAATTTAATATTTTTTTTTATTTTTATTTTTAATATTATTATTATTTTATTATAATTATTGAAAACCCATAAAATTATTTAATTTAATATATTATAAATAGAAAAAACTAAAAAGCAAAAAAGATTCCCTTCATACCTTCTCGGCCTTTTGGCTAAGATCAAGTGTAGTATCTGTTCTTATCAGTGTGACAACTGATACTGTCCCTATTAGGGACATGTGGTTTCACATTAATTTTTCATTGGGGTTGGGTTTACTAGTGGCTTGCCCTGGTCCCAACATAGTTGCCCTAGGCTTGCACGATTCCTAGGTGTGGCTAACCCATTAAAACAACACCCTTAATTAATTAAACGAAATTTTTTTTTTATTATAACCTAAAATTAAATATTATGAGTTTTTTAATAATGTTTTTTATATTTTAATTTTATTTTCATTTTTTTAATAATTTTTTATTATATGAATTATAGAAATAGTAAAATAATAAAATACATTAAACAACATTTAAATAAATTATTTTATAGTTATAATAATATTTAAATAACAATAATTTTAGTTATATTTTGAATTAAATATAGATTTTATTAAATTAAATTAAATAATATATATAGTAAAAAATAATAAAAAAATTTATACTATCAAAATTAAAAATATTAATATTAATTTAAATTAAATATATTAATTAATAGATATAAAATTAAATAATTTTATAAGTTATAATTTTTTTCTTTTCTTATTTTTATTTAAACAATTAATTTTATATTATTATTACAATTTATTTATATAATAATCAATTTAATAATTTAAGTAATTACATTATTTTTGTATTAATATTTTATTTATATTTTGTAATAATATTTTATTTATATTAGTTTATGATTTTTATTCGATTTATCATTTTTATTTAATAATAAAAAATTTTATTGTTCATTTTGTTTTTTAAATTTTTATTTAAAAATATTATTTAAATTTATATATAAAGTTTTTTTTTTTTATTTAGTTTTTATGATATTTGTAAAATAAGAAAATTCATTTTTTAAAAAAAGGAAATTTACTATGTTATAAAATATAAAAAACTAAATTTATTTTAAATATGATTAAGTAGTAAGGAAATTAATATTTTTTATATAAAACATAAAATAATAATATTATAAGAATATTTAACATATATGTATATAGACCATTTATTTTATAATAAAAAAGAGATGACATTATATTAATTTTTAAATCAAAAATCAGCATTTAATCTGAAAACTTTATCTTCTTTAGAAGACATAACTCCTGATTTTTAATATTCACCAACTCTCTTTTCAAAGAAATTAGTTTTTCCTTAAATACATATCATATCCATCCACTCAAAAGGGTTTTTTGAATTAAATAATTTTGGATAACCAAGAGAATACAAAAGTCTATCTGCAACAAATTCTAAATATTCTTTCATCATCTAAAAAAAATATAAAAAAAAATTAATTAATAAAATTTTTTATATAAAAATGTACGTTGCTATTCATCCCAATTAATTCAACAGGTAAAGCTTCAGAAATAAATTCTTTTTCAATTTCAACAGCTTCAGCGATAATAACATTAACTTCTTCTTTAGCTAATTTATTTTACATCATTGAGTAAAGCAAACAAGCAAAATCTGTATGTAATCCTTCGTCTCTTGATATTAATTCATTTGAAAAAGTTAAACCAGGCATTAAAGATCTTTTTTTAAGCCAAAAAATGGCGCAGAAACTTCCACTGAAGAAGATTCCTTCAATAGCTGCAAATGCAACTAATCGAGAAGCGAAATTGTCATTATTATTAATCCATTTTAAAGCCCATTAAGCTTTTTTATTTATTACAGGAATATTTAGACAAGCTTTAAAAAGAAACTCTTTTTCATTATCATCTTTTATATAAGTATCTATTAATAAAGAATAAGTTTCGGAATGAATATTTTCCATAGCTATTTAAAATCCATAGAAAGCTCTTGCTTCTGGAATTTAAACTTCACACATAAATTATTCAGCTAAATTTTCTAGAACAATTCCATCTGAAGCTGCAAAAAATGCAAGAACATACTTAATAAAGTGTCTCTCGCCATCAGTCAATCTTTCCCAATCTTTCAAATCTTAATAAAGATCAATTTCGTCTGCTGTCCAAAATGAAGCGAGTTCTTTTTTGTACATTTCCCATATTTTATTATATTTTATTGGGAACATAACAAATCTGTTTGGATTTTCTTAAAGAATTGGTTCACTTTCGAAATCACTTCTTTGTTTGGTTTAGTTGGTTTATTTTGAGATTGTTAAAGGTTTTTCAGATGCTAAAAGGAATTTGTTTATTTTTTCATTTTAAGGTTATAAAAAGTTATCTTTAGTTTAGTTGTTAAGAAACATTTTTTTATTATTTCGACTTTTTTTTCTTTAGTTTTTTTTTTTTTATATTAATATTATTATATTTTATTTTTTTTGCTTTTAAATTAGAAGTGAATTAAAAAGGTTATAAAGAAATAAAAATTTAAAATTAAAAAATATAGCGCTGCTTTTTTCAAAATATATTATATATATAACACAAAAAGTTATTGATATTATGATTTTTTATTAATAGGCGCTTTTAATTTAATTAATTTGAAAAATGTATATTGTGCAGAATTTATTTACGTTTTTTTAAAAAAATAATAATTAAAGAAAATTATTTGATAAAAAAAATACTTTTATGTGTTTTAAATCTTGTATTTTCTTTCTATAGAAATTTCTAATTTCAAATTATATATATGAATTAAAATCTTTACGACTTTTTTTTTTAATATTTAAATTTGAAATTTAGAAATAACTATTTTGCATTTATTTACTTAATACTATTCAAAATAAATTAATATATTTAAAAAATGTTTCAAATAAAATTTTATTGTTAATTTTATCATTTATTTTTAATATATTATTTTAATTTATATATTTAAAAAAAAAATTCTAATTTTTGTTTTCTTTATATATATATTTAATTATAGTTTTTATTCAAAAAAATCTTAAAAAGTTATTAATTTTAAATATTATAACAAATATAATATTAAAAAATAAAGAATAGATTATGTTCAAATATATATTTCAATTTAATGCTAAAATAAAAAAGAAATAATAGGATTATAAAAGCTCTAATTTTGATTTAATAGTTAAGATTATATATTAATTATCGTAAAATTCATAATATAAATTATATTTCTTGTGTTTTTTATTTTTCCTATAAAAACCTATTCTCTAAAAATTAGTTTATTTATTATAAATTCCATTCTTATTTTTTTATTTTTTTTAAATTATATAAAAATTAATTTTAATCATAAAATTAATGTGAAAATACTATTTTCTTATATCTTTTAATTTAATATATATATTTTATTTAGTTTAATATAATAAATTATAAATATAAAAATTTTTATTTCTTGTATGTTTAATAGGTTTAAAAAATAAAAAATAACTTTGTAAAATAAAAAAAAAACATCAACAATTAACAAACGCAAACTTAAAGAAAAGAAATAAAAATTTTTATAGAAAAAATAATATATAAAAGTAAATTTATGAAGTTATTTAAAGAAAAAAAGGAATAAAATAAAAAATATGTATATCAAAGAATTAAACTTATAAATAATAAAAATACGAAAAAATATTTAAATATGTTAATAATATTAAAATATAAGTATATAATGATAAGAATAAAATTTATTCCATTAATATAACATTAAAAAATATAAAAAAAAATTAAATTTTATTTATTATTAAAAAAGTAAAAATTATTAAAAAAATATAAGAATAATTTAGAAATACTATATTAGTTAATTATTATAACGCATATAAAATTAAAATGATATATTGTAAATATAATATAAAAAATATATATAATATATATATATATAATATATATATATATATTTTTTATTTTATTTTTAATATTAATTTTTATATCTTATTAATAATTTTATTATTAACGATTTTTTTTTTTTTTATTCAGTTTAAATTGGATATTAAAATATTTATCCATTAATTTAATAATTTATTTGGGTTTTTTTATATTTAAAAATATTATAATTAAAGGTGTAAATATATATATTATATTTTCTATTATTATATTTTTTTTTTTTATATAATTTTTTCTTTTATAATTAAATTAAGTTTTATAAATTTTAATTTTTTTTTTAAAAAAAAATATATAAATAAAATATAAAGCATTTCTTTTTTAATATATTTATTAATTTTAATGTTTTTTTTTTTTTATTAAATCTTATTTTCTAACTTTTCTTTAAATTATATAAGATAATACTAATTAATTATTTATTATTTTAATAAATAAAATTAATATTGTATATGAAAAATTAATTTTTTTTTTTCTTCTATATATTAAAATTATTTATATTTTTTTTATTTATGTTACTATTTTTTTAGTTTGCTTATCTATACAATCAGTTTAATCTTTTAATTTTTTTTAATAAAAAATAAGCATATTATTAAGGTTATTTATATTTAATTTTTTATTTGATTATATTTTACTATTTATATATTAATATTTTTTTTCATTATTATTTTAGATTATCTTTATTTGCTTTTTTTATTATTTTCCTACTCTATTTTTGATATTTTTAGTCTACTTACATTATTTTCTTATTATTATTTTTTTTACTAGATATCTTTCATTAGCATTTTGTTCTTTTATTAAGAGAACAATAATAAAACTATTAAGATTGCATAAGTTTTTTTTTAATAAAAAATATATAATTTAGACATATTTTAAATTGAAGTAAAGTTCGAAATTTCATATTTTCGATTAAAAAACTAATTTTAACTTTGTATAAACAATGTTTTTTAATAATTTTAGTCTTTAATTAAAACTTATATGATTCTATGTTTTTATATTTAAACTTTTAAACTTATTTTATTTAAATATTTTTTTTTAATTTAATGTCAGTTATTTAAAAAAATGAATAAATGATATTTTATCTTAAATTTTGTGAATTCGAAAAATTTCTATAAACTAACAATTATTTAACAGGAGAATAAATATTTATTAAGTTTTTTGCACTCTATGAAAATATATATTTAAAGTTTAATATCTAAGTGTTTAAATATAAATTATTACAAAATATGTTTATTTTTTAATTTTGCGATTAATTTTTAAGGCACAATTCTATGTTTAATTTTTTTATCTTTTAATAATAAATTTATTAAGGAGTTTTTTAAAAATTCACTTTTTTATTTATTATTACAAAATTTTATTTATAAAATTATTACGACTAATATGATTCAATTAAAAACTAAAAAATAAATTTAGGTATACTTAAAAATAATAACTCAATAAAATACAAGAATATAATGGATCATTTCATTCCAAAATAAAAAAAATATTTTTTTTAAGATAAATTCGAATTTAAAATTTATGTATATAAATAATTAACTAATGTTTATAAAAATATAGTTATTAAGTAATTTTTTTAATAAATTTTAAGGAAATTATAAAATATCGTTAAGAAATAATACTATAATGAATTTTTTTAAAAAGCTTATTCCATATTCTATGAATTATTTTAAAAAATACATTTATAAGAAAAAATTAAGCAAAAAACAATTGAAATATCAACAAACTTATTATTATAATAATAATTTATAAATATATTTTTATAGTAATTTTTAAATATTTCTAATTTTATATTTATATTTTTTTAAAAATAAATAAATAAATACAAAAAATAATATAAAATGGGAAGCAAAATAAGCATAGATAAATATGTTTCTTAATTAGATGATATTCTAGAATATAATATAAATAATATATAAAAAGATTACTTTGATTCTAACATACCAGAACCAATAACATAAAATATAAAAGTAAAATATGTTTAAATATATTCTTTTTTTTAATATTGAAACTAAATAAAATATAAAAAATATAGATTTGGAAATTCCGCGAAGATGATGCAAAGTTAAAAAAAATAGTAAGCTAGCCTATATCATTATAAAACCTTCAGAATTCTAGTATTAATAATTTTTTATATTTTTTTATACTAAAATATACATAATAATATATTTTTTTAAATAAATATACATATATATATATTAAATAATTAGATTTTACTTTTTTATCAACTGAATGTTATTTAGTTTTAGTAGTCTATAAATGCTAAAAATAGTAAAACAATTCTAATAGATGTGCGTTTATAAATTTTCCTCATTCAATGTGGGGTATAGTATAATCTTATAATAATTTGACTCCGCGAGGGTTAGAGAATCCTTTATCAAATAGTGAATTGAATCTTTAGATACTCGATAGTTTTTTATTGCCAAATTAAAGGAAACAAAAATAATATTTAAATTATGAACACATGATATTTGTATGGAATGGAAAAAATTCGAATCCTTTAATAAAATCTTTAGCACTTTCTTAAGCTTATAATTTAGAAGCTTAATTAAATAAAGGGGGTGAAAATTTATTGCAAGTATACTTTTTATTTTTGAATATTATTATATTAGATTTTTAATAGGTTCTATTCTAAGGAGGTATTATTTAAGCAAATAAAATTGAAATTGGAAAAGTAATATAATTAAATAGTACTTCTAACAAACCAAATAATCCTGGTATCAAATAATATAAAAGAAAAATCAAAGTTTTTTTAAATTTTTAAAAAAATAATAATAAAAAATAAATTAAAATAGAATTAGAAAAAGAAATTAGATAAATGAGTTAAACAATTTTTTTATTTAAATTTTTGTTTATAAATTCTTCTACTTAAGAATCTATTTAATAGAATTATCTAAATAATGAATAAGCTAGCAACTAATATTAATAAAATGATGAATATAATTATCTTTAAAATTATTAATCAAACACAAGTGTAGATTCAAATACAACAGCAAGCTCAGAAACAAATTATTTACGTTGCTTTAAAAAATAGTTTTGTGAATAAAACTAACCTTAAAATGTTTATTTGAATAACTTTATAAAAGTTTAATAAAAAAAAAAGAAATAAAATAATAGTGAAGAAACCAGTTCTCAAATGAACAACAACTTAAATACTAATTTTAACAACATTAATAATAATATAAATAATAATGAAATAAGTAACAATAATAATAATAATAATAATAATAATAATAATAATAATAATAATAATAATATTAATAATAATAATAATAATAATAATAATAATAATAATAATAATATCAAAAATATTAATTTCAAATCTGGAATTGCAATGAAACCTTTGAATTTATCCAACTTAAATAGTTAGAAAGTTAATAAAATTAACAATTTAATTAATGATAATTTATAAGATTTATAATAAATTAATAATACTGATTAATTCGAAACCTTGAACGATCCTATAATTAAATTTAATATCAAATTTGCAAATATAAAAGAAGATGAATAAGAAAAAAATAATAGATACAAACTTAATTTATAAAAAAATTAATATGATTAGTTTGATGAAGATACCGCAAATGATAATTTTTATGATAAAAGAAATGAAATAAATAGTTTAAATTTTTATAATTAAAACAAATTTATTGATGATGATTAGGATTTTATTTCAGATGAATAAAATAATTTTGGATATAACAAAGAGGATGTAATTTATATTTTTATTTTTTAACTTTTATTATTTAATAATAAAGGAAATTTAAGGTTTTAAATTAAATCCAATAGCAAAAATAAAATATTTTGCATAGATTTGTAGTGAGGTGATTCCTAATTTTTTATATGTTAGTGGAGAAAAAGTAGCTTATAACAAATAAAAACTGAAAGAAAAAAAAATTACCCATATTATAAATTGTGCAGGTGATGTTTGTATAAATAAATTTCCAGAAGAATTTATATATAGAACATATCACTTGAAAGATGTTAAAACTGAAGTAAAAATATAAAATTACAAAAAGAATAATAATATAAATAATAATATATATAATATAAAGAATATCGAATGTATTTTTTATGAAACCATATCATATTTAGAAGAAATTGCTAGTTAAAATGGAAGAGTAATAATACATTGTATTTAAGGAATTTCAAGGTTTTATTTTTTATAATTTTTTACTATTTTACTAATATAATATTTTTTCAGATCTGTTACTTTATGTATTGCTTACATGATATGGAAATATAAATATAATTTTTAAGATGCATTAGCATAAGTTAAAAAAGCAAGAGATATAGCAAGTCCTAATGCTGGATTTTTGGTTTAATTAATTAATTTTCACAAAAGACTTTTTTCTACATACGAAAGTATACCAATAAATCCTAGAGTATGGTGCGTATGTAGTCACTAATTAGAATAGCCTTATTTAATTGTTGCAAAAATGGTATTTAAAATGATATATTTATTTTCTAAAAATTTATGAATAAAAATAAAAAGCTTTTAGAGGGTTTGTTTTCTGTGCATAAATTAGATCCAAGGGGAGTTTTTATAATATAAAGTCAATAGAAAATATATATTTGGTTGGGAAATTAATTACCTTTAGAAAGATCTTTAAAGTAAATTAAAATTAAATATTTTAAATTAAAATCTAAATATATTATAATTTGAAAAAGATATTAAGAATATGCTTTAATTTATATTGGAATATTATAAAAAAATGAAAATGCTCCAAAAAATGTTGAAATTATATAATCTGGATATGAAAATGATGAATTTTGGAATTTGTGGTTTAATTAAAAACCTGAAGTTACTACTCAAATAAATAAAGAATGGAATAATTGGTTTTTAGATTTAAATTAATGTTAAAATGTATAAAAAAAAAGATAAATTATTTTTATATATCATATTTTTTTAAAAAGTAATTTTAACCAAAATATTATGAGGATGAAGAAGAAAATAAACCAAAAAATAATTATAGTAATTAAGATAAAAAACCTATTCTATTTATTTATCCCGAATACAATAAACCTTTAACAATTTTTGATTATGATGATCTTAGTGAAGAGAATTTGTGTATTCTTTGTAAACAATAAGATGGTATTATTAAAATACATATTTGGAAAGGCTATGAATTTAATGAACCTGATGAGGTTGAAAAAGGATTTTTAGATAATCTTATATAAAATAATTTTCCTTAATAAGATGCTCATAATATATATATTTATAATGAAGTAAAATATTATATTTTTTTAAATTTTTATTTGAAATTTTTTAAAAAGGAGCCAAATAAGGAAAGTGAAGATTTTAATGAATATTTCTAATAAAATTGAAGATTAATTTAAAATAATAAATTATTAAATTTTATATAATAATTTATAGAAAATATAATATGTAGTGTATTATTTTTTATGTAAATTACAATTATCTATCTATGATTTCTATAATTAAAGTTGTATTATATAAACAAATAAAATTTTATAAATAATTTAAAGCAATATTAAAAACCATTAAAGGACATAATATCTTAAATTGTTAAAAAGCCATAAATCCTCATTATTATAAACTATATCATATATCAACATTTTTTAACTTTGTTTTTATTATTATTATTTATTTTATTCTTTAATCCAAAAACAAATAATAATTAATATCCTAAAGATATATTTATAAAATTTATAAATATTTTAAAAAAATTTAAATATATAATATTTTATTTGATTATATATTTTTCATAAAAATATTAATAATATATAAATTTTTGATCACATTCAAGTTTACTTATTTTAAGATTAATATTTATAATTATTTAAATTAATTTTTTTATAGTAAAAAAAGCACATATTTTATTAATTTGATGTATTGTTATACATAAAAAATAATTTTAATTAAAATAAAGTATAAAAAAGATATTTTTAAAAAATTTATAATTAATAAAAAAATTTAAAAACACTATTTTAATTTTATTATTAATAAATAAATAAAAAACGTAAATATTTTTTAAATATATTATAATATTAAAATAATTATAATTATAAGATTAGCATTTTTATAATATTTTATATATAATAAATAACTGATTAATTATAGGTAATATTTAATATGAAGATAATTACTTCGAAAAAGCAAGCGATTTGAAAATAATAAAAGTTTATAATTATTAAACGATTAATTTTTATGAAAAATATAATTAAAAATTAAAAAAAAGCTTATTATGAAATTAAAGGATTTTATTTATCAAAAAATGTTTAGATACTCTTTCTTTGATTAAAAAAAGTTTTTATTAAGAGCACAATAATGGTGAATTTAAAGAAAAAGTTTAATTAATATTTTCAAAAGATAATTGTAAAGAATTATTAGTATTTATATAGAATACCCTCAGTTAATATAATATTAAAAAACTTTTAATTGAAACATACTTGAAAGATATAAATATTAAAATGAGCATTTAAAATTTTAATTTTATATAAAATATATCCTAAAAATTATTTCAATAAAGAAACCAAACTATTTAAAGCAAAATCATTGAATTGTAAAGCCATTCCATATTAAATTGACTTTTAAGAAAATAAAGTTTTTTAAATAATTTAAAAGAGATTCTAGAATTTATGAAAATATGTAAAGACTTAAAAATATTGCCTTAATTAGAGATAAGGATTTCTACTTTGAGAAAGGAAATGAAAACATAAATATAAGAAAAAATTATGAATTGCATTTTTAATTTTAATAATTTTATACTTAAAATGTTTTAAATTTTAAAATCTAGTTGAAAAATTAATAAATAAAATTTAAATTTTAGAATATAGTTATGTTTAACTTATTTCAATAAAAAAGAGATTAGCTAAAAAAACTATTTACTAATAGTGAAAAATAAAAAATGTTTTTATATTAAATTTCTATAGATAGATTTGAATGGAATTATTTTTCTTTATTTGAAAATGATTTTAACTCGAATTATTAAATAAAAAAATAGATTTTTATTTCGATTTATTTGCTACTTTAAAAATATTTTATAGTTTCTTTTTAAAAAAAAATATTTTATATTATCAAAATATTAAAATTAATAATATTATATTTTCTAATAATGTTTTATAAATTAAATGTTATTTTTTTTTACATTTATAGTAATTTAAATATAATATTTGATTTAAACATATATTATAGATAGATTCATTTTTTAATTTTATTAGATGAATTCTAAATAGATTAATTATTTTCATTATATTCTAAATCAAATATATAATCCCAAAAATGATTTGTTACTTAATATCCAGCTTTTAATTATTTTAAATGATGTAGTTAATGTATTTTTCTTAAATTCTTATAAAATCCTAATGTAAATTCTTTTTTGTTATGAATTTAATAATGAATGAATTCATAATATAAATATCCTAATACTACTCCACTCATTACAAAATACATCGAATTTCCCCAAAGTACAAAACCTATAATTATCCTTATTATAATTCCTACAATAATTACGAATAGAGGCTACATGCATGTCCTTGCACTATAGAAATTATTATATTTATTAAAATAAAATATTTTAAGTTTTTAACCTATCTAAAGGAAAAAAATAGTGTATTCCTATTAAATAAAAATGAAGTGTTTTTCCAAGTAAATTTTTATTTAAAATAATTCTTAATAAAATGCATTCACATAAATTTGAAATTAGAAAGCCTGAAAAAAATAAAATTGATACATATAATAAAGGAAAATTTTAATTTTTTAATTATTTATCAAAAAACCCTCTTGTATAATTATTTTTAAGATCGAATGCATTGTAAATATTATATATAAAAGCAATTAAAAATAAAATTAAATTTATTCCTATATTGTTGTTTGATAGAATATCTAAAATTTCATTGTCAAACATTTTAGTTCCAATAGCTTTTTTATATGGATTCTGACTAATATGATCATATATTCTATCATCCTTAATTTAATATATTTAATTAACTAGCCCTTTTTTAATATCAAGCTTAAAATTTTCAAAAACCAATATGTCTTCATTATTTAAATAAGGAAATTCTTTTTATAAATTATCTTGTTTTTACATTTATTATTATTTTTCTTATTCAAAATTTCCAAATAAATATTTTTGCATTATTTTATGTGCTTCTTATGAATGATTATGAATTTTTGGATTCTAAAAAACTTCTGTTATATCTTACCCACAATAATCTTCAAAAACATCAGGACCTCCTATTTCTATTTTAATATTTTTTTTTTTTAATTAATACCTGGATGCTCAAATTAAAATTTCGTCAAATTAAAAACTTTATCTTTAAATATAACTAATAACAAATCGTTCTTTTCTGCATATTTTTCAACTTTTTTATGATTTTTAAAATGTATTAGCTTTTAGTTTTTCATTTTTTATAGTTTTATAATATTTATTTTTAAATTGCTTTATTTAATTTTTTTTTTTTTTTTTCTTTTATTAGATTTTAAAATAAAAATAAAATTAATTAAATTTCTAGAAGAAAAAATTATAAAGATTAAAAGAGATGTATAAAATCTTATAATATATTATAATAACGTTAGTTTTTTAAAGTAAATAAAAAATGATAATATAAAAATATTTTTAAGTTAATCTAAAATATAATATAATATATATTTTTTTTTAAACTATATATATATTGTAATTATTTTATCTTAAATTATATAAATATTAAAAATATATAAAGCATATTTTTTAAAAACTCAATCGATAAAAAAAATATTATAAAAAAAAATGTAAGTAAATATTTCAAAATAAATAAATTTAGAAAGTATGGCAGAAAAAAAATTAGTTTTATTTAATTTTTTATAGTTTTTATAGAAATTTAAAATCAAACTATAACAGATACATAATAAAAAGAAAATTAATTATCAATATATACTTATAAGAAATCAGAATTAAAAAATAGAAAATTAATAATTTTTTTTCTCCAAAATCAACCAATATTAATAAAATAAAAGTAGGGGCAATAAGAATTATTTTAAAAAAATTCAAACAGATAGCAAATATAATTATATTATTAAGTGAATTAGAATGGGCTTCCAAAGGAAATTTTAGTCGTTTATTAAGGTAACAAATTTCAGGGTATTATAACACAGTTAGAAAAACAAAGTTTTGATAAGTAGAAATAGTCAATATTTATTTAGAAAACTTTTTTAAATTATGAGTTCTGAAAATTATCAATAAGTATGTTAAAATTATTAAAGTGAAAAAATAAATACTGTTTAATTGTTTTATACTTTAGAAAGAAAAAACAATGTAATAAAGAATCGAATTTATATATTAAGATTTATACAGAATAATTTTTTTAAAAAATACTGTGTATATGTAATTTTTAAATTAATTTTTAAAAATCTGACTGAAGAGCTTAATTAAAAAAACAAAATTTGAGTGCATACTTACTTATTTAACAAAAAAATTTGAAGGTAATAGTTTTTTGATTAAAAATTTGGCGGAAATTTTTTTTAGAAAAAGGAAAATCGACACAATTTATATTTATTTGAAATTAAAATATGAAACGAAATTAAATTAATATATGCTAAAAGAAATAAATTAATATATAGCAGATAATAATAGACTAAAATATAAATAAGAAAAACTCTTATCTGAAACTAAGTTGACAAATGAAAACTTTAAGGAAGTTTTAATATTCAGGATTTGATTAAAATATATGACTTTTAACATATGTAGCTTTTTGAAAGCTAAGAATTTGAAAATGCGAAAAATACGATTTACTTTGTTAATTATAACTTCTTTTATGAAATGAAAAAATATCTTAAAAAATAATAAACAAAATTGTATAAGAGTTAGTTTATTTTTTCTTGTAAGTTTATTTTTTTAAAAAAAATTATAGATTATAAAAAAATAAATATAAGTGATGTCGAAAATAAATAAAATAAAAATATTAATAATTAATTTAATAAAAATTTATTATTTATTGTTAATTAGATTGAATACATCTTTTTATAATTAATATAAAAATATAAATTAATAACATTTATTTTGTTTTTAATTTTCATTAATAATTTTATTTTAACTTTACAAATTATTAACTATTTTCTTATGTTTTTACAAATTAAAAAAAAATACCAAATAAAAATTATAAAACTTGAATCAAAATAATCATTAAATTAATATTTTATTTATAAAAAGAAAAATAATAATTTTCATAACGTTTAATAATAAGAAATTTTAAAATAGAAAAAAATGTATTTTATACCTGATCGTAGGAATTTAGGAGGAAAAAAAAATATAGATAATCTTC